TTTTTCTCAAAATACAATTCCATGTCACTGATTTCTCTCAAAGTTTTGTACTGAATCTCAGTGAATGTGTTTTTAGTTAAAAATTTTACATCTAGCAGCAGCTGTTGATTGTTTTGATAAGTTATTCTTTTCTCTCTAAACTGTTAGATGACCAATCCACAACAATCTTTGCTTTCATAGTTCTCACCAGGCTGTTTGAGCGTAGGGGCCCCCTACGCTGTGATTTTGACCCCCTACGCTTTGATTTAGCCCCCACACTGTGTTTCAACCAGTGTAGGGGTGGTTTTTGGGCGCAGAAGCTTCATTAATCTTAAAAAAAAATGAAAATATAACTTAAGAATGAAGCTATAACAGAGGGAAAACAAAATCTGTCCCCCAATAAACAATAAATAGTGTCTTAAGTGGTTAATATGAGTTACAAAATTTTTTGGGGAGAATATCAGGCCCATGTTTTTGGGACTCGGTGCGTGACTCGCGCCACAGAAAGTTGCCCTTCTATACCTGACCCCTACGCTGTGAAAAAATCCTGGTGAGAACCCTGCTTTATAGAGAACATGTTAACTCCACATGTGTGAGATTGACCTAGAAAATATTGCCTGGCAGCTGCCCCACATAAACAGCTATTATGGAATGTATATAAACTGTTCTGAAGCACTCTTTGCTGGAGGCTGGCCCTTCATAGCACCACTTCACACTCTGGAGGGGTAAACCCCTGGAACAACACTCAACTCCTGACACTTGGGTACAAATTTATTCTCCCACAAACGTTACAGTTATGTATATTTATTTTACATCACCAGGGTGTGCCTTCAAGAATTTCTCATCAATCAAAGTGTATGTACATATTTCTGAAGGCATTTGGATACATTATGCAACACATGATGCCAACATAGGACTTTGTGGTATTTCCTTCCCCAGTTTACAAGTCATTGTGATTACTACATTTTGGTAATGGTGTTTTAGGCCATCAATCAGGAAACATCAGCAGAAACACTCAGACAGGAGCCAACATATTGCAACCTTTTAGAGCACAGTATGAGAATGATGTGAA